TGTTTCTCCTTGCCACTTAAGTCGTGCCAGATACAAGCCTAGCATGAAAAGTGGCGAGCAGACTGTCGACCTGGTCTAGATTGGCACGAAGCATAAGAAAGTTGCTCGGTACAGCAGATGCTTCAATGCCAAATTTGACTTTGAACTGCACTGTACAGTTGTCCACAGTAACGTCGACGAATTTTGCAGTGGCTAGTGTCCAGGTGAACGGAACCAAGCTTGTTTTGTTTGTGCTTCCACGAGCAGCATACTTCAGCAAAGGCCCCCCCCCCCCCCCCCCCTTGTTTTGCAGAAGTTGCAGGCAGAGCGTCAAGCAGGGCAGTCTGAACGTCGGTGAGGCGCTGGGCTACAGAATTCACGTGCAGACGGCTCACATGAGCACTCTGCTTGCAGCTGCGACTAAGTAGGCTTAGCTTCGAAGCGACAACGAGATGCGGACTTGTTCAGGTCCAGACGCGTGCACGTGATTTTCTAGCGACAGCGACGAGCGTCAGAATTTTCTGTCGTAGAGGCCCATTTGAGCCGTCGCGTGTCGCCTGGAAGCCAGCGTGATGATTTCCAGCAACATGGCTGCGCCCGTGGTCTTTGCTTCGGTTGTAATTTGCTCTCAATGCTTGTTACCCATGCATACTTCAAGGAATACAAGGTATTGATCACCTTCTTTACATTTGCATCTCACACGGAGAGTGAGAGAGCAAGCGTATTTTTTTCGTAAATCTTCTTATCGAAGATTTGTTTTGATGATTTGATGGTAGCTTGTGACAATTACGGTCGCTCGCTGCAATGTGAAATCGTCATGTGAAATGTGTCGTAGCCGTCGTAGTGTACGCTTCTGGGCACCCTGTCGCGATTAGACCAAAGGTTGTGAAAAAAAAAAAAAGTTCTGAAATGCTTTTGTGGCTTTTTTATGCCACAGAAGATGGCAATAAATTTGTCATTTTGTCATCGAGCTACTTATCAACTTCTTTTCGCAATTTATGGGTATGCACGTGATAGTTTTCAATCTAGCAACAATGCCACTTTGTTGCCCATATGTGGTTGCAGCAGTCGCGACGCAACAGAGCAAGTTTGTCGCTGTCGCTTGTCACTATCGCTCAAAAACTACGTGCATGCGGTTGGGCCTTCAGCTTTTGTGGTGTCAAAGTTGAGCTCGCATGCGTGCTTGGTGCAATTCTCGGACAGTTCCATCTAATTGACGGTGTCGTCAGACTGATAGGCCTGTGTCCATGCCTTCTTGAGCGTCAGCTTTGCGTTGAAGCACAGCTGATCTAAGAGGTGAGAGTCACAGAGGCCGATCGTGAACCAGTTACGTACGAGCCTTTCCTCGACAGCAGCTGACAGGTAGTTTACATGCTTCGCCATCCTGCACAGTTTCGCGTAGTATGTGTCAGCGCTTTCATTGGGTAGCTGGACACGCCTGTGGATTCGCAATGACTCGTCAAGCTCATTTTCTGAGTGCAAGAAGTGCTCAGTGAAGCAGGCGGCAGCAGCTTGGTAGAAAGCGAACGCCTGGGTCTTGAGCCAGAATGGCTCGAGGAGTGGATGTGCTTCCAGGCCCTTGCAGTACAGTAGCGAGCATACTTGCACGTCTTCCAACACGCTTGTCAGTCCTAAAACCATTGCGAAGTCTGCGTAGCGGCTGAGCCTGTGTTGTCAGGTTTGCAAAGTTGAATGGTGCTGGTGGCTGAACGTTGACGCCGTACAGTGGCGGCTCACCAGTTTTTAAGGACATTATGGGCCATTTCGTTGTGGCAAGGGCTAGAGGGACGTTATTCTTTCGCTGCTGACTTCCTGTCACTCGATCTTATCCCACTTCTGACACCATGTCACGTGGTTAGTGCCACACCGGCACACAGAGGCCGACACGTACCCACTGCTGTCCTAAACAAAAATGGAACCCCACTCTTTATTAGGCATGAGCGTATATAGACATGTAGGCATGTAAGCAAGTCTTCGGTGGCGGCCTAATAAGAGGGATAAATTGTGGCGACCACTACAAAGTGGCAGGGACGATAGCTGCAACCTATGGTTCGGTCTGCCAGTGGCAAGTTCTACCTTGGCACAAAAAAGGCACCTTCCCTTTGCCATCTTTTCAAGAGCCGTATACAGTTAAACCTGGATGCAATGAAATTGATGAAGTCTCAGAAAAAATCGTTATAGAGAGGATTTTGTTATATGCAGGTTCTGTACGAAAATTCGGAAATTAAATGCACAAATTAAACAAGAGGTGTACAGAAGGAGAGCTAACCCAAAACACTTATTTTGCAGTAAAAAAACTGCGCTATTATTGCGATAGTAATTACGTGGCCACACTAGGCGGGTTTTTTTCGTTGCTGCTATTTTCCGTAACAAGTCCAAATTGATAAGGTGCTCCCGCGCGTAAAACCCACCAGCGGGTAAAAGCGTGCGAGCACAGCTGAAGCAGAGATAAAATCACTCGGCCCATTCCTATCACTTATAGAGTGCATAAAATAACATCTCCCGCATATTATAAATGCCGTCAAATGCTCAAACAGAGAGTAAACCACTCGTCTTGAACGAGCATGAAACAACATGGGAAGGGCGGGGATCGATTGAGTAGCATTAATGAACTTGTATTTTAAGGGCGGTCGCGATCGCTGGCATACTTGCTAGCTCGGTGAGTATCAGTGTGGTTTCAACGCGAAGTGACTGTGTGAAAAGAGCACTTCTCCCTGGAGAGGCCGTATTTGCTCACACCAGCATTTTGTAGGAGTTCTGCGATATCCAATTTAGAAGAGTTGACTGCAGCCTTACTTCATATACCATTACAATATTTTGCTATCACGTTCATTGCATTGCAATCAAAGCGTCGTTGTGTTGCCAGAACTAATCAGCTAATCGCGAAAGCTACTAGCCTGCGAACTCGCGGCGCGGCGTAAGACGGAGCGCGTGACGAGTCGACCTTCGAAGAGCCGTCGTCACTGTGGTCCTGGAGAGTTTCCATCAGCCCCTAATCTGACATGCCCTCGGTGGCGACGACACGGTTGTCTGAAATGAAAAAAAGTTAGTTTCCCCGTATGGGGGAAGCAATGAATGCGTAACAACAACATGAAATGTAACGCTAAGAACGGCAAGCAAATCGAAATTCGCAGCGTGCTGCTCCCGCACAAGTGATGCGTGAAACAACATGCGCAGGACGAGAGCGAACCAACAATGTTTACCGCTCGACACTTAACGCGCTGTTTAAACAAAAACGAGGCACGCAAAACGTAATCACAGGTACAGATATGAGTGCAAACTAACAAGTGCCCCAGTTGTTACTTTGCTGTTTTTGAAAAGCGCTCTCTTTTCGCAAACGGCGCCTGTCCAGCCAGCGAAGCAATCTTTGTGCGCCTGGCAACTAAACGCAATCATTGCGGTCAAAGTCAAAGGCGCTATTTTCCCCACCGAAGGACAGGCGCACACGCAGAGGCATCTAATCTCCCCCCCTCCCCTCTATTCGTGGGGCAAAGTACGCATGGGAGATAAGCGTGCGTCAGCGCATTGTGACGAGCTGGGTGCCAAGTGCGGGCGGCTTTTTTTCTTCTTTCTTGAGTTCTCATACTGGATACGTACATATACTGTGAATGACCGCTGCGGCGGCGGCAGCAATCAATAAACCAGCTGGGACTCTCCGCATAAATGCTATGGAAATTAAAAAAAAAAAAAAAACTCCAGGCCTGTGCGGAAGGTGCAGCACATTCACAGCGAAAGCTAGAAGAACGGCCTTTCAGAGCCTTTTCAAAACACTCATTGGGTATCTACTGCAAGCACTATTGCTTGATACCTACTAGGGCATTGATAATAAACTTTTGGGTAGTAGGCCGGCATTCGCTATGCTATTTTTCGTCATTCTTCTGGGAAGCGTGGTTTCCGCTAAACACTTGCAAGGAATTTTTGTGCCAATTGTTCATGCGATGAGGAATTACGACTGAAGTTGGTATGCGCCACAGTTACAAGAACAAGCTTTTGTAATGGGTTGGAGCCTTCGACGGCCCACTTGCTACGCTATTCGCATTGTGCGATGACTGGTTGTTCTTTCCCTATTTTAAAACACTTTATAAGTCGTATTGACGCGATTGCTTCCGCGACATCAAGCCTGCCGAAGGAAAGTTTGCCAACACGTCCCAAGCATCGGTGTGGCTCAGTGGTAGAATACTGGGCTGGCACCCAGCAGACCTCGAGACTCACTGTGTCTTTGCTGCTAGTTTTTTTTTTTTTTTTTTCGCGCGATGTGGTTACGGACACCGGCAGCGGTGTCCAAGCACGTGACTTGAGTTGTGATCTCATAACGGCTTTCGCTGTAGAAAGCAAAGCTGAACGTCATCAGGGGCCACATTATGCACGCGCAGTGAGACTACGTACGCGCGCACGGCATTGAAAACGAAGAGCCAACGACACAGACACGGATACCTCGGAAAACTATTCGGTGAAGCCTCCTCCATATGCAGTGTGGCCCCACATATGTCACGCTAACTAAAGCGTGGCACTGCCAACACGCAAAAGTAGTTACCTTTCTTTTTTTATTTTGGTTTGGAGTGTGGGGAGGCGGGGGGGGGCATATTGTGCGTGCGCCCGCGGCGACGAGAACGGCAGCATTGTCAGCTCATGAGGTGCAGGCCCGCCCGCCTCTCGCTCACTCACGTGTAGTAACGAGAGCTTGTTCTCGCCTGGTGCGCTGTGCACACCGTGGCATGTCGCGCTTTGTTGGCGACGGGGCAGCCACGGAAGATCGGAAGATCATGCTCATAAGAAAATGCGGAGCAAAATTCCTAGATTGTCAGTGGGGAAAGTTCGTTACATCAAGTTTGTCTCTTGCTGTACCTTTGTTACATAGAGGTCGCAAATACATGTGCTTCTATAGAGCAACGGCGGGGAATAAAGAAACTTCGTTACATTGAGGAATTTGTTATCTGGAGGTTGGTTATAAGCAGGTTTAACTGTATTGCAGGGCTTCATGAAACACTCCCAAGTAGCTTTACAGAGTGGATCTTTTCCAGGTAGATGGCATCAGTTTGCCACTTCCACCAACCGGGGAGCAGCAACCGCCGGACAGCAAAGGTGCAACCTCTGGGAGTGGCTGGGGTCCTCTCACGTGGGGCCTTGCTCCCGGCGGGAACCAAGAGGAGCCCAAGGACACACCCGCTGCACCAGCAGCCACCGCTGTGTCACCTCAGGCAGCACAAGGTGCGTGTGGCACACACAATTTGATGCAATGAGTGCCAGCACCAAAAGTGGTCACATACTGATAACCCATTTCAGAGTGCAGCTTTTAGGCACCCATTTCTGAATTGCGCATTGGCGTGGCTCGTCCATTGTAACCGAGCAAATGAACCTGGTAAAAAGATCAAAGCGAAGGCAGAAAGCATGGGGCGAGAAGGAAATGGCAGTACTACACCAGACTGCGAGATGGCATCATAGTAGCCCACGTCCAGGTTACTTTTGTGACATGCCAATTTTCAATGTTCTCTGCTGATATCAACATCAGATAATACGAACATTTTGTGTCATTCTGCAAAATCCATATTTTTATTTATTTATTTATTTATTCATGTTACCCTACAGGCCCCAGAAGAGCATTGAGTAGGGGGGGTTACAGAAAAATCACAATAACATAAAGCATAAAAAGAAATTATATCGAAGAAAACAAAGAAAATTGCACAATGGAAGGGAGAAGAACAAACACTATAAGCAAATGCAGCAAAAAAACAAAATGAAAAAAAAAAATAAAGCATCGTTATACAAAATCGAGAGAACATATAAATTTGCAGTAGCTCACGAAATTTGACCGGATCTCTTACAGAAACAATTTCATCCGGAAGGCTATTCCAAACTGCGATGGCGCGTGGCAATGCAGAATTATTGAATGACTGAGTGTTGCCGAAGATGCGTCTGAAACTGAGATGATTATGAAGTCGACTAGATGTACGCGAAGGAATGTCAAGCGATAGACGACTGGTCCACGAGTTGTAGTAGTACTTATGGAGGAGGCATAGACGGGTGACAGAGCGGCGGGAATCCAAGTTAGTAAGGGCAATATCGCGTTTGATTTGGGTGATGCTGGAGTGGCGGTTATACATTGAAGTGATGAAGCGGGCTGCACGATTTTGGATGGATTGCACTTTATCTATTAGGTATTGTTGATGCGGAGACCAGATCGATGAAGCGTATTCCAGCTGAGGACGTACAAACGTTTGGTAGGCCTGCTGCCGAATGGTAGATGGGGAATGATGCAGATTCCGGCGCAACAATCCCAGAGTTGTGTTTGCTTTCGCGCATATCTTGTCGATGTGAGTACACCAGGCAAGATTAGTACAAAGATGGACACCAAGGTATTTGTATGTAGATGAACGGGGAATTACAGCTGAACAGATAGAGTAAGAAAAGTTAAAAACCGATTTCTTACGGGTGAAAGAATATCATCAACGTTTTATGGTATACATCTTTGCTCAAGTTTTGCAGTAGAGAGTATTGTATATGAGGTGAAATTTTTATTTTATGCAAAGTTTATTTACCAGCATATAATGAGCATTGAATTTTTTTTGTGTATTCTTTAAAGGAAGCTGTAGAAAAATAAATACCAAGCTTGGACATACAGGAGTATAGGCTCTTTAATGAAACTTGTCCTTTACCATGGCGCTCTTTTAGGTGCTTATTGAGAGAACATAACGAAAACGTAAAACAAAATGTTGGGGGATGATTGACGTAGGTCGAACAGTAGCACCCTAGTGTTTTATTTGTACTTGATCGACCTCTGAAAAACGCAAATTTACTTTTACGCACCATAGCATCATGTGATTCATGCACCTTGTGCAGCAAAGTACTATGGTAGTACAGACTAAGATCGGAAACCTCAACCGCATTTGTATTTTGATGTCTTGCTACAAAATTGAATCGAGCATTAGATATGAGCTCACCAATTATTGCAGAAGTTGCTGCGCAAACTGCACTCCAAGACGGGGAATGTCTCGTCAACAGCCGCGAGAACAATCGTCGGGCCGGCAGCAACAAGCGCCGGCAAATACGCTCAGCCAGGAAGAGCAAGAAGAAGCAGGGACGAGCCAAAGTTGTGCATGGTGGGAGGTCACGGACTGGCAGGGGACCAAATGGGGAACTCTCGGTGGCCGACATTCTCCGCCATCCACTGTCCAAACGCTTCGTGCAGCGCACAGGAGAGGTAGGTGCCATGGAAAAGCATTTCTTGCGCAAATTGGTCTCTACAGGACTGTACCTGATTCTCTGCGTATGTCTCTGGTCTGGATCGGTGTCGTATCAATTCAGTGCACGTGCTTGCGCTACCCCGCCGACTTTGATAATTTGCAATTCGTTTTGTGTTTAGGACTTGTTCTTGCTCACTCCTCGCTTCGCTCACCATGCCCTCCACACACGTGTGGAAGCATAAAAACGGCTTTTATCGAAGTCGGAGGGGCTGTGAAAGTCCGCTGGCGCCACAGTGCAATTCTTTATCCTCTGCGTGCACAGACGACTCTACCAAGTTTTTTTTTTTGCGTGAGTTGCGCGTTTTGTGAACATTTCAAGCAAGCTACCCAACCTGCCTTCTTCCGGCGAGTTTTGGTTATCGAGGTCACCTTCCCACCGTATGCTCTCCTCTCTTCACGCTACCGTAGAATCTCGATGATATGAATTCGGAGGGAGCACACAAACTATTTGCATCATTCCTAATTCATGTGAACAAAAAATTATTTAAAGGTGATATTGAAGATGAACAAGAGCTTTATTGACGAATACTTCTTGCTCAAAAAAGTCTGTCATGTTCTTTTGAAATTTCCTGGCTTCACCGTCTCTCAATAAGGTGTCGCGGTAGCCTCACTCATGCCCTTGCTGTGGCACGTTCACACTTGACATCAAAGAGAGTGAAAACAGCCAAATTTATTGGAAATTCACTCGCTTCGCTGCTTAAGCAACCATAAAACTGAGCCACAAATTCGACACAAAAAAACCAGTTTTGAAGAATTTACACTGGAAAATTAAAGTGAAAACGCCAGAGCAGCCTGAAAACCATATCCGCGCCCGTTGAAAGCGTTCACATTCCTTCTACCCCTCATACATGCCACCGCCGCCACCATGTCTCTTTAGCATTGAAATTCATACTGAATTTTAGTCATGCATGCAAAGCACTGAAAAGAAACAGTTTACACCTTTACAAACGTTTCAGAAGATACGCCAGCAGAAACTACATGAGCGGACACAGCGGCGGCGACGAATTCAGCCGGCAGTGCAAAAGCGAGACACGTTAGGGCATGCTGACTCACTGGTGCTACACATTCTCCTTCCGGTGTTCTCAGCGATCGTAACCCAAACCAGGCTCTCAATGAAAGCGTCCTTGTCAAAGCCGTGACCTTTGACGTGCTGCATGGGGAGTTCATGATAGCACCAATGCCATCCACTACCAATGCCTTTGCCGCCATGTCGAACTAGCACCTCGTTAAAATCCCGTGGTTTGGAAGCTAGTGCAGCCAGGGTAGCCAAAGCCGTGAAGCAAAAATGTGATCTGCTATCGTGTGGCAGGAAAATTGGTCTCAGACCGATTTTTCACGTCGGTTTTGCAGCGTGTTTTTCCTGCCGCTAAGACGAGGAAAATTCTGGCGAGTTTTGCCACATTCGTTCCCTTCGAGGCCAAGTGTTAACGGGCTTTCCTCCCATAGACAAGCCTCATTGCACCGCTGGCATGCAGTGGTCAATCGCACATTCATATCTGTTGGCTGAGAAAAATGTTGGTATAACACCGAATCACGGCGTATTTGATGTGATTTAGTCCATCCAAAACAACCTTAATGTTCGTATTACCGCAAAATTCTGATCAACCGTAATCGTATGATCGAGATTCTACTGTATCGCCACTCCTTTGCCCATCGCCACCGCTCTACGACCCCAGCCAGGCTGGCTGAAATTAAGAAGTTTCTTTGTCTGGCTAAAAATGGGCCTAGAGCATTTTCATGCGTCCTAGATAGAATGTCGGGCATGTGCTTCTTGCTCACTATTAGTGTGTGTGTGTAGTCAGGATGTGAAACAGGAGGCCTCCTGCGCCTTTTCGTGCCTCTCAACAAAATGACGGATGTGCGATCACTTGGCTTAACCATAATTCGTGCATATAAAGCTTAATATAGGTGCTGCGTTGTGCAGAGATTGCTCATAGTTGTTGACAGCTCGGCAGCCAACCTGCCACTTTGGGTGTCCCTGTATTCACTTGTGGAGATCGTGAAGGCTTCGTGCGTAGAGGTAACAGCTTGATGTGTGCGAAACTGTTTTTGCAAGGCTGGCTTCATCAACTGCGTACCCGATGCTGAGCCTGAAGCTTCCGAACACTACCACTGCAGTGGCGATTTGTGGCAGCATGTCGTAGACTCCACGGGAGGGCCGGACTTCTGATGTAATGATTTCATTATTGCCAGTGTTGATGCTGACACTGCGGAACCATGCATGGATGAGAGCATTGTGAATGAAGCGTGCAGTAAGAGGGATTTGGAGGAATTGTATGATGACGGTGACAAAACTTTGAAGCCAGTGCTCACGAACATGCCTGTTGCAATTGGCTACATTAATAGCCTCAGGCAGCTTAATAGCCTCACGCAGTACTTCCTGGAAGCCAAGTGATTACTGTGAAACCTTAAACTGGTCATGTGTTTGACCCTCACATCATACTTTCGTTCTTTTTTTTCTTCTGAGCAGTGAGTTATGCGACCAATAGAATGGCATCGCCTGCCGCATCTGCTAAATGAGCTGCCGAAGCTGAAGCTCAATGAGGCCAGAGCATGAGCTAGGCACTGTCACTGAGAAGAGTATGTGAGCAAAATGTGAAGTTGCCTGTAACTTTACGTGTATAAATGTCTCTTTCCAAGACAAAGCCTCGAATATAATGAAATAAAAACAAAAATTGCTTGTTGCAAGGAAATTTTGCATTAGAGAGTATCATAATGATCAGTAATGGTCGGTAACATTTTTGGTTTATGCATTGAGGTAACACTGTTCTGCTGTGTTGTAGAAGCTGGTGTCACTCGACTGTAGAGCTAATTAAAAATTTCTGTCAATGAAGAGACATTTGCTCTTCATTGTTTTTGTAATTTATTGCAGTGGTTTATTAGATAAAATGTGTTTATCATAATCTACTGCAGCAGTTAGGCCCCTCTGGTTTGGTACAAAGCTGATGGGGTAACTTCCACAGGTGGTGCACATCCTGGAGGCCAAGAACTCTCGTGTGACGGCTGGAATCTTGCGGCAGCTGCAGGACAACAACCCGATGTGGGTGCTGTTCTCCCCTAGGGACGCACGCTTTCCTCGGCTCATGGTGCCTGCACAGGAGTGCCCTCCCGGTGAGTCAGGCCAGGGCTGCCAGGCAGAGGCTGAATGTCCTACAGCGGCTTGTTGAGAATGGTGCTGTGTTCGCATTCGTTAGGTTTTGATGGCACTAATAAGATAGCTCAGTAATTGAATTGAAGAAAGACAGAAACAGTATGTCTGCATGTGTTGCTGCTTAACTTGGCAGTGCAGCCAATTGTCTTTCTAATGAACTCGAAATCGCTGCAACAAGTTCCTATGTCAGTTCATTGTGTATGGACTTGCCCTTAGAAATGTGCACTTAGTGACCAAACAGTTATTTTTTTTCCCTGTGCATTATTATTAAAAAGTGCTAACAACCGATCTGGTGACTCGTTAGGCATTTTCACATCTTAAACGACATGTGCTGTCTGCTCACAAGTGAATTAAATTACATACGTGATCAACTCCTGCGGTTCCACTGAAGCGCGGTTCTGCTACGTATAACCAAACGTCTCTGGCTGTTTGGGTGCAGAACGCATACGTGCCAAGTCTCCCGGGTTGACCGGGAGACTCCTGGATTTGGACCGTTTCTTCCGTTAGTACGGTTTTCATGAAAACCTCGCTGAAATCGAAATTTCTGTGCGGGATCTGGCTGCATCGTCAAAAAAGCTGCTGAATCTGCTCGAGGCTTTTCAAACCTACCCCATTTTATTATGAATGAGTTTAAGAGGCATTCACCTAAATGTACAGTAAAATCTCAGTGATACGAAACTGTGGCAGATATGAATTCGTGAAATTCGCCAGCCAAATTTCACTATATGTCTATTGAGCCTAAATTTTATAGTTCCAAACACATTTCCTAATTGCAGTGGGGGATACGAACTTTAGTATGGAAATCATCGAACAAAGGCCAAGAGCAGCATACTCCAAGCTTCAGAAGTGCGCGTGCGACCGGCGTACGCACGCACTGTCTTCTTCTTCAGTGCGTGTGATTGTCCTTGCCACAACCGCTGTGGACGAAATTGCGGTCGCTTTTGACACGATCATGTGTGGCGACGACTTAACTGACAGAGCCCCGAAAGTGTGCGCTCGACCAGTCAATGCTGCTTTCCGCGAACTCTGTGGACAAAACTGTGGCAGATGCGATCGTGGATGGTATAAAACGAGTAAGTTCTGAAGGCGTGTGCGCAGCCATGCGCACGGGCATTGTAAAAGGAACTACCGTTTTACGGAACCGCTGCGCACAAAACCGTGGTCACGGCGACGTTATAGCGATCTCTACGAGCTCCGAGGGCACGCAGAGGTAGATCAAAGGCAGTAAATACGTGAAAAAAGTCACAGTTTCGCCGCAAGGAAGAAGCGATGAATGCGACAGCATAAACTTGGAATGTCACGCTGAGAACGGCAAGCAGATCGAAACGTGCAGGGCGCTGCTCACGCACAAATGACGCACGAAAACGATACACCCAGAACGAGAGCGAACTAATAACTTTTACCGCTCCACACCAAATGCGCTGTTTAAACAAAATGATGCACACTACATAATCACAAGTTTCGATGAGTACAAGTGTCCCAGTTATACTTCGCTGTGCATGAAAAGCGCGCTCCTTTCACAAACGGGGCCTGAGCAGACACCGAAGTGACCTTTGCGGGCCCGGCAACTAACGCAGTCGTTCCAGTGAAAGCCGAAAGCACACGATTCTCCCCACCAAAGGATAAGCGCTCGCACCCAAGCATCTACTCCTCCCCCCCCTCCCACCCACTCATCTGCGGGGCAATGTACAGGTGAGAGATAAGCGCGCATCGGCGCATCGCGATGAGATAGGCGCCGAGGGTGGGTGATTTTTTTTTCTTTCTTGAGTGTTCATATATATTTAGATACGTATACATATACAGTGAATGACGGTGGTGGCGGCAATGGTGAAAAGCCAGCCTAGAGCGTCCAAATAATTGCTATCGCAATAAAAAGAGGCCAGACGCGTTTTGGCATTCCTGTCAAAAGAATCTAGTAGTGAGCAAAGCTTTGACCCGTGCTTTTGCGGCAGCCAGCTGCGCCGTCCCGTCCGTTCGCGGGTGTCCCAGGAAGACATACGTGAGCCGTTTTGAAGGAAATAGATTCTGCTAGTTGTGTTGCTTCTTTGAGACTCACACCTTTAGTGGGAAACCCTACAGTCAGGTGTTCGGCCACTCCAAGCCATCATAAGACAGCAACGCTGATGTTGTCCCTTGTGATTGAGACCCTCCCCTTCCCCCTCCATGTACTTTCTTGGTTTTGCAATGTTTTTTGTTTGTCCCTGTTTTTTTTTTTTTTTTGGTGCCGAAAAAAATTGGGGCAAATAATTCAGTGCACCCCCCCTCCCCCCTTTGCGGAAATCTCTCAGATTCCGAATCCTTGAACTTGGCAGGTATGAGAACATCGCTTACTCAGCTCTCGCCATGGCATGCTGAGCCGTTTGCAGTCTAATATACGCGTGTTTCATGTTTCAGTTCAGATCATGCTCTGTTGCGGTAGCCTGTTGGTTTAACAAGACAAAGAAGTGCATTTTGCAAGCAACGTGCAAGCGGCCCTGTGCAATGCGGAGGTCGCGAACTTGCAAGCGGAAGCATATGTGCTTGTACCCACCATCACTCCACACACTTCTAAGCACACGCAGCCAAGCAGTTGTCTGTAGATGACTGCTAAGGTTGTCTGCAATGAGTAAAAATGGCACGTTCAGTGCCACTGGCCTGCTCCCATTCGCTATTTTTTAGTGCTTATTCGTAAAGGCACCACTGCAACCACGCGATAGTCATTGTCGTTGATTGACCAGCCTCTGGTGTTTCTGAAAGGTGGACGACCTTTTGCGGCACGTTGTGGCATCAGCGAGTTGAGCATTGCGAGAACTTTAATATGAAAAAAGTTCTCACTTCTTGCATACATGGCTTCTTTCATTTGAAGGCACTCATTAATTCATTAGCGGTCACAGACGCAGAGAACGATGCCAAAAAAATTTGTTGTGGGGGAGCTGGCCGCAAGTTTTCATGCTGCCTTCCTCTCCCTCTCACTGCCATTTTTTGATTGATTTTGTGGGGTTTAACGTCCCAAAACCACTATATGATTATGAGAGACGTCATAGTGGAGGGCTCCGGAAATTTCGACCACCTGGGGTTCTTTAACGTGCACCCAAATCTGAGCACACGGGCCTACAACATTTCTGCCTCCATCGGAAATGCAGCCGCCGCAGCCGGGATTCGAACCCGCAACCTGCGGGTCAGCAGCCGAGTACCTTAGCCACTAGACCACCGCGGCGGGGCCCTCTCACTGCCATTCTGATAGTGAAGCAGCAACTGGAAAGTAAGCAACAGCACTCACAGTGTTCTAAATCTGCGTGCATTGGTTCCCACGGTCTACGATGTTTTCGTCGCAAGTAAAGTGCAACGTGCACGCACGAGACCGTGCTGTTCACGGGCTTTATAATGCATATTCTAACTTTTTTTTTGCTTCTTATGAGCTATGTACTTACGGAGGTCATGTCGTAAGTGTTATTTATTTTATTTATTTATTTCGACATACTGCCAATCCCATCAGGGATTTTAGCAGGAAGGGCGTGAACATAAAAATTCGAATAGGTACACAATAAAGACATACATCGCGATAAAGTACAGAATGAAACTAACAGAATCGGATCATTTAACAATTTCAGATCAAAGAAGGCATAAAACATTAGTGTAAAGAGAAGTTGTCAGAAGAAAATAAATGCAGCGACTTGGTTGACACATTGGTTGACATATTGGCATATGGATCAAGAAACACAACAAGAAATCACAGCAATAAGAAACTACCCTACAATATGGCAAAGTATTTCAAGGAAGGGCAAATTTATACACACTGTTCATCATAAAAGAAGAAAGCTGTGAAAGATGTTTGCTCTATGCAGATGTCGTTTCAATGGGCAGCATAAGAATATCGCAAGTGCACCAAATTATGGTTGTTGTAACCGGTAGATATCCGGTTTAAGGAATTTTTTTATTGTGCAAGTTGTGGTTCATTCATAACTGGTTTTAAGGGGTGAAAATGCCTAAACTCAAACTAGAGGGAGGACACGGGGGCAAAGCTGCACTAACAACTAATTCGTTTGCAGCACATACATGTACATTGTCACGTGGTCATGACGGTGACGAAGGCAACAGTTGGCATGTCAAAGAGCAATATTTATTTGACTGAATTGATGGCTGGTGAATAGAAAGTCGAGTTATAGCAATACACAGGCACTGCTGGTGGCGAACGGACCGGACCATTGGCCGCCGATCAACTGACAAGCGGTAAAACGCGTCTGCATTTATACATGTGCAGGTGTGCAACAGGTGTTTTAGTTGTGCTAATTTAATACAATTCCACATTTTGTACCAAGCTGTGCCAAAATTATGAAATTTGCTGAAATTGCACCACGCTCTACCAGAATGTCCGACCAGACTCGAAGTTTTCTCAGTTGCGCTAATTTTAGTGAGAAAAGGCGGCCACGTTGGCCATCTGTCGTTTGCCTCATCAATCAGTCCAATTGTGCAAACCTAATCCCAAGCTGCGGTGTAAGATTAGGTCAGGAGCCCCACCGCGGTGGTATAGTGCCTAAGGTAATTGATAGATATGTGGGGTTTAACGTCCCAAAACCACCATATGATTAAGAAAGATGCCGTAGTGGAGGGCTCCGGAAATTTCGACCACATAGAGTTCTTTAACGTGCACCCAAATCTGAGCACACGGGCCTACAACATTTCCGCCTTCATCGGAAATGGAGCCGCCGCAGCCGGGATTTGATGCCACGACCTGCGGGTCAGCAGCCGACTACCTTAGCCGGTAGACCACCGCGGCGGGGCGGTGGCTAAGGTACTCGGCTGCTGACCCGCAGGTCGCGGGATCCAATCCCGGCTTTGGCGGCTGCATTTCTGGTGGAGGCGGAAATGTTGCAGGCCCGTGTGTACACGTCACCTGTCGCTCGATAGTTGTAACCCGAAACGCGGCTTTTGGGCGAGACACAAGTGCCACACAGCGCAAACAATGTTACAGGGGTTGTCAGCACCCACACAAACTTAATGCGTAGTTTCTAAAATGCTTAGACGGATTTCCACTGCAGTGGGGTAGGCTTGCTGATGTTTGGCAACAGAAACTTTATCATCAAATTAAAACATTTTATGTATTCTGTCTGTCTTGGAGAGTTGGAGAGTGTCAATACACTGCACACCAAGAAAATTAAAAATTTTTGTTTTGCGACATCTCAAAATCGTGTCTCAATAAAGAGCTTCAGCCCTCTGTAGCTGTTTTTGAATATAGTCTTGCTGTCCTCGCAGGCTTCTTCCAGCGTCCAGCTGACTTCAGCCACACCTTGTTTCTAGCAGAGTTGGTCAAGTGGCTGCCAGACGCCAACTTCCCCTTGGGGTAAGTTTTGTTCAGTGGGCCAGTTGTGCACATGCACTGGAAGTCAACTTGCCCACTGAACAAATCAATTCACTTGAGAAGTGCCTGAACCTCCACATACAAGGCACTTCAATTGTTTAATATTGCAGATCAAGCTCTATTCTTGTAGTGAAATAGGAACAACTTTGGAATAATTAAAAAAAAACATAAAAACACTAATACCAGTAAATATTGTGGGGTCCCGATACTGAGAGCACCGCACTCTTTGAGTGAACGGACACAGCAGATGTGGTTGGAACGAACCAAGCCAAACAACACACATTTTTTTAACCTCATTTAGAACGACCATATCGTCAGCAGAATTATGATAACATCAATAGTGATCCACTCGCTAAACAACCTTACACAGTATTACACAACACTCTACAGCATGACAAACGAGGGAGTGTCGCGAACATCCGACTTACCTCAAGGGCCCCCGGCAGACGGGGGTTTCATTGAGAGAGACAACCGTTCGCGCCAAACGCCACCAGCCAAAAAGCTCGCTCAATTCTCTCGTGCTGCCACCAAAGCTTGCCGCCAAGGGTCACCGCCGGTGCTACCGACCTCTAAACATGATGATGATAGTGATGATCAACGCTCGCAAACACAACGCCATCCACCGCTCAATAGTTGTGACCCCAAAATAGGGCTTCTGCGCGAGACAGGTGCGCCACGTGGCGCAAACAACTTTACAGGGAGTGTCAAAACCCTCGTGTGTGTGTGTGTATATATATATATATATAGTGGCATTATGGAATTAAATACTCTCATATATTACATACAGGGTCTGTTATAAAGTAATGTGCATTTTATGAGAAAAATTGTTTTATTGATGGGACCTGTACAGATGGTTGAAATTCTTGAAGATACTCTCTCCTTGCATCAGGAGAGTTGCAGACACATGTCGGCCACGCCTGGAGGGTATCCCAAAAGTTCTCGACGGCAAATGTCCTTCTCAAACGTTGTACAATGCTTTTTTATGTTTTTCGAGATCTCCCGATGCTTGTCTCTTCATTAGCACACAGAACCAAGTCAGGACTGTAAGGAGAAGGGGAAACCCCTGAATCATATCTCTGGGACTTCATAATGATGAAGGACATGTGGCCAGGGGCACTTTAATCATGGAGCTTGAATGCGTCTGATGCCAGCCATGACGCACGCGACCCAGTTGTAATGTCTTCAGCAACTCAAGTAAAGGGCAGCCCTGACAGATTTCTCCCTGCGATACAAACATGGTTGAAACTGATCAGTGACATGACCCATATTTTCATTGTTTCCAGTCATTGTTGAGTGTCCAGAACGGGGTTCATCGCTGACCTCCTTGAACCCCTTGAGATGCAATAATCCTTGAAAACCTCTCAAATCATGTGCAATGTTTCCATTGCATTCCTTCCAACTTTCAAGCAAAACTTTATAGGGTATCCTGTTGAAGCAAATGCTCCATAGCGCTGTGTTACAAAGTGGCAAACAACATTTCATCTAGAGGCACGTCTTTCTACTCGTACTGCTTGTAGTAACATTGTGGCGTTGAAACTGCATACACCCCCTGCTACATTCCCCTCCCCGATGATTTACCGCACTGCCATGAATAGTTGTGTCAAAATAAAATCATGCACATTACTGTGTGCTGCAGGCATGAATGTCTTGGAAAATTAGTCTGACCGATGGGGCAGCAAGCATAACGTGCTGCCACATTGCCCATGTAGGAGGATTCGTCAGCTCCTCGGCCCAGCAGGCAGCATCCCTGTTGAGACAAACGCCATCCTGGAGTCGTACAGCATTGAACATCAAGAGTTCCCGCCGGGCATTCTCGACCACCTTGGGGTCACCACCGACTGGAAAGTGCCGGAGGTTAGTGCGTATAGTGCTGTCAATGGGCCAATGGTAAATTTCATATTTAAAGCAAATGCAAAGGAAATAGTGATTCATCAGTGAAAAAAAGTTCGAATTCAATAGTTCGCATAGTACATATTGCATACTGTAAAGAAAACGAACCATTCTAATATGATCTAGCAACTAACTATACTCGTGGCAATATGAGTGTGTTTTTTTGGTTAAAGGCGAAGGCTTGATAGTAGCAGACTTTGAATAGGCGTAAGGCGTAAGTTACAAGTGGATAATTAGGCCAATTGCATGTGCTGTCTGGCACAGCTTGTGCCATACACCACATGCAAGGTACCCACTGTACACCCACCGCAACTTTCATGAATTAGGGAAGCATCGTAGTGAAGTACCGTCAAAGCTCAATATATCGAACACGGATATATCGAACTATTGCCTACATCGAACGGTTCCTATATCATGCGGGAAATCGCATGCATTATTGATTTTTTATTTCGAACAAAGTTTGACATATAATAGATATATCGAACTCAGCCACCCTAAACCGCCCGCGCTCCATTGACAGGCGGCGAGCCTTCCCGCAACTCTCGAAAGTAGCGGTAGAGCGGCGGGCGTTTACGAATGCTGCACACATCGATGGCGCCGAGAGCGCCACTTTTAAGGTAGCGGCGGACGCGCGCCGCAGCCTTGCAGCTTGCAGTCGTTGCAGTCTCTATGGTGTCAACAGCACACTGCGCACTTGTTGGGAGGATTCGCTCGCAGGATTTCAAGCTGGACGATTGTGCCCTCGCGATCTCTGACGCCAGCATAGCTCCCGCCGACTGGTTCGCCCTCCGCGGTCTCCTGACGCCGTGCAGCTCTCGCATTGTGGCGCCCCTCCCTTTGACTGCTTGGACCGGATCCCCACTTTCCTATCCCCTTCTTTTTTCCGTGGCTTGCCTGTCTATTTCTTCATCTATTTCCTTCTATTCTTTTTATCCCTCCTTCACCCCACCCCTATAAGGCACTGCGCCGTGTCGCCTGAAGGCAGACAGAAATTAGGTGCCTTTTTCCTCTTCCTTACAACCACTACCACCACCACTTGTTGCAAGCTCCTCCCCCGTAGCATCGGCAGGCATCGGCAGGTATCGGTCGTTGTGCTCACAGTGTTCTTGCGTTTGGAGTTAGGCCTATCGCGCGCTGTGGTGCGCGACAGGCCTAACTCCGAACGGCGGAGCTCACGGATGTGGAGATTGTCGCCGAAGCTACTGCTGAGCAGCCAAATGAAGACTCTGCCGAGGTGGATCCCGCAAGCGCTGATGGTGCCCCGCTCCCGACATCAGCTGAGGTCGTAGCTGCCTTGGCCCTTGTGCGCCGCCACTGCAGCGCGATTGAAGGCACAGGCACTTATGGATCGCCTGGACTATATTGAGGACGCAGTCGTCAAACACGCCATGGCCAACAAAAAGCAGGCTACTCTTTTTCAATATTTTAAACCAACACAATAAATACTATGTTTGAATCTTCAAGTGAGTATTTACTGTGCCATGCTTGAACGGTTTGTTGCTTGTTTTGAGCAAGCTGTTGACGCATTTTTTTCGTGATTTTTTTTATATCGAATTCCGGATATATCGAACTATTTCGCGATCGCCGCACCGTTCGATATATCGAGGTTCGACTGTACTCGCTACACTTGTGTAAGGCATTATGAACACTTTGTGTAGTGGCTGATGATGACCGAACAACAAGCATATTACAGACCACAAATTATCTTTCTGCCATCGATGAAAATAAAGGACCGCTCCCTCACCCTGGAGAGGCAACGCTTAGCAGAAATCAAGCTAGCCCAAAGGCGAGAGTTTGGAAGCATTGATTACGGTACTTACTCGCATAATAGGTGCCCCCCCAGTTTGGTTGCAAGAAATCAGATTTTCTTTTATTTCCACACGTAATAGGCGCACCTCGTACTTGGCCTTGATTAGTAATTGTGTACTGAATTCGCATAGCCTTTTTACATGAAAGGGTCACTCACCAGGCCCCATAACAGATTTTAGTTAGACCATGGAAGTTGTGTGTCCGATATTTTACCACAAAAATTTTTTCAGTCCGTTTAAGAGCTGGGAAAACTTTTTGTAAGCGGCGCGAGACAAGGATGAGAGGAGGCGAGCTCGAAACCTTTGCCGCTCCCCCGCGTTGTCTTCTCAAGCCAAATCTGTTCATTCTCTGGCATCCGACCAAGAGGTCACTTGTGCATGACATGTCCGAACAAGCCCAGCCCCGAGCACGTGAGCGGCGTTGTTTTGTTGACCAGCGTTATTTTGTGGTCTACTGCCTGTTTCTGCAGGATGGTTTGGCAATGCTGGCTTAGACACAGTAGAATAGATCAGCATAGTCAGTGCTTGAACGTGCAGGACCATAATTTCTTTTCTAGGACAGAACTATGCATGTCGTGTTAAATAACTTTCTCCATGTCACGTGCTATTGTTCGCAACATCATAGCATAGTCGTCTACGTAGAAGGCCAACGCCACAGTACTGCCGTGTACGTTAGGCGATTCCTACGTGTATCGTGTATGTCGTACCCTCATTCTCTGGGCGCGCTTTGGTGAAAGGAAGGGAGAGCAGCGTTCATCTTGTAGTTTGACCCATTTCCGCGGCGCTTAGCGTTACAAATTTCGGCAGATGTGATCGTGAACGCCCTACGTACGCGTTGTGCCTGTCAGCTCAAAATTGTCAAACCTGGTGTGTGGTCCTTTAATTGTAGTGAGCAAAAAAGAAAATAAAGAAGACGGCAGCGCTGTGCGAGTTCGTGAGGGAGGAAGAAAGGAGTATAACTCCAGCCACTAGCCCGCCGCACGTGCCTTGCATGGAACTCGAATGTAAACATTTGACAGAAGTCTGCCTGGTTGGGTATGAAACTGGGAGATGATTTAGACTCCAACCAAAAGTTTTGAAGAAACCCGACGTCTCAAAACCGACTTGGTTCTTTCCTCAGGGGTGACTGCGGGGCTACGTAGCAGCTGCATTCTTCAAAGCACTCATGGGGTGGATAACGATCCCCCCTCCAGGTTTCTTCAAAACTTTTGGTTAGAGTCTAAATCATCTCCCACTCACATGGAACGCGTGATCGAGTCCTCTTCAATAGTGTATTGAGCTTTGTCAGGAAAAGTGCCGTCATTATCGCATTTGCTACCTTGTCCCCAAATTTGAGAGCTATTCGGCTTTCCTATGCGAACTTATGGCTTTGCTGCCACTACGCGGTCTTATGAAAGCTCAACAGACTTTTGTCGCGATAGATTTCCTGGCCGCAAACCTAAACATTGTATCATGCGCACTGCTTTTGGAGCTTTGCTCAAGTGCGATCTTTTCAACACCCGATCTTCATGTTGTCTTGTCCAAACTTCCCACGACAACATGCTGAACTGTAGGCTAGGCCTAATCAAGGTTCGTGCTTTTCGGTAGCTGTAGCGGTTTTGTAAGGAATCAACGTAGCACTTGTCAGTGGCTCTACTTGAAGGAAAGGGGTCTTGGGTGGCGCTTCTAACACTCAAAGGATGGTTTGCAATTCGATTGAAATGTCTTGGATATGGTGTGTGAGCCTGGAAATGGAACGATCTATACCGTTGAGCACACAAATAATCTATGTGGCCTGAATCATAATCAGCGAATTTCCACGATGGCGCTTGTTTTTTTCATAGGTTTTTTTCCTTCATTTTATCGGCAACGCGGGTCTCTTGATGTTGATTATTTGAAATTTGAATGCATTGCCTGCCTTGATTCTCGCTGCATGCTCAATACATTTTGCGCTAGTTTAGCCTATGAAGTAGGCTGTTTTGGCTGTCACACGGATATTCGTGACTTTGGTAATGTACGCATAATCAGCGGTCCATACTGTAGTCGGAAATAAAATTTCCGGAAATTTTACCCTGCGTAATAGGCGCACCATGTACTCTGTGCTGGATTTTTTTTAAAAAGTGCGCCTAATATGCGAATAAATATGCTAATTGCTCATTGGCTCCCGTGCATGAGCATCAGGTGCTTGACACATAGCAACGGGCAGTACGGAATCAAGGGTCAAGTGTTCAACATCTCTAGAGAGGTGGAGGGAAGAGCGCAATGCCTTCCTAAGAACAGAAGCGGCTTCGTAGTCATTGGCATGCACATAAAGGAAATGCTGGTAAGCGAGTCCTATGCCGCCATTTAATATTTGACAGGCTAAGCTCGTATAAAAGATAAAATGAAACTGTTTTAATCTTACCAAAAATAAAATACTGATTCATGGAGCAAGTAATACAGCCGAACCTCGATATATCGAACGGTGCGGCGATCGCAAAATAGTTCGATATATCCAGAATTCGATATAAAAAAATCACGAAAAAAATGCGTCAACAGCTTGCTGAAAACGACCAACGAACCGTTCAAGCGTGGTGCAGTAAATACTCACTTGATGACTCAAACATAGTATTTATTGTGTTGGTTTAAAGTATTGAAAAAGAGTAGCCTGCTCTTGTTGGCCATGGCGTGTTTGACGACTGCGTCCTCAATATAGTCCCGGCGATCCATAAGTGATAGGCCGGTGCCTTCAATAGCGCCGCAGTGGCGGCGCACAAGGGCCAAGGCAGCTACGACCTCAGCTGATGTCAGGAGCGGGGCACCATCAGCGCTTGCGGGATCCACCTCGGCAGAGTCTTCATTTGGCTGCTCAGCAGTAGCTTCGGTGACAATCTCCACATCCGTGAGCTCCGCCGTGAGCTCCGTCGTTTGGAGTTAGGCCTGGCGCGCACCACAGCGCGCGACAAGTGCCCAGTGTGCCGTTGACACCTTAGAGACTGCAACGACTGTTAGCTGCAAGGCTCCAGCGTGAGTCCAGGTGTGAAGCGCGCACATGGCGCGCCCATGCCGGCTCGCCTGACCGCTTTCCCTTTCCCGGTGGCAGCGCGGGCTGTGTCCGAGACAGTCGTCTGCGTCCTTTCCCTCCTATACTTTCCTCCTCAATCTTTACCTCCCACTCCCCCTTCCCCCGCGTGAAGCCGTGTCGGTGCCTTCGTATTGAAAGAAAATAACTAACAGCTCCGCGCTTTTCTCTTCACTTTCCTCATTTAAGAACCTCTACCGCAAGGCTGCGGCGCGCGTACGCCGCTACGTTAAAGTGGCGCTCTCGGCGCCATTGATGTGTGCCGCATTCGTAAACGCCCTCTGCTCTACCGTTACTTTTGAGAGTTGCGGGAAAGCTCGCCGCCTGTCAATTGAGCGCGGGCAGTTTGGGGTGGCTGAGTTTGGTATATCCATTATATGTCAAACTCTGTTCGAAATAAAAAATTAATAATGCATGTGATTTCCCGCGTGATATAGGAACCGTTCGATATAGGCAATAGTTCGATATATCAGTGTTCGATATATTGAGGTTTGACTGTATAGCCTCTGAATTTTCAAGTTCGCAGCCATGCGGGTTTCTCCTGAATGGACAGTTTCATGGGGTAGCATCATGCAGCAATGAAACCACCTCTTCCCATGCTTATTAGTACACCCAGTTAGAAGAAACTGTTGATTCATTCTTTAATTTAGAAGGATGCATAAGTATTCAAGTTTTTTGAATTTCAGTCCCCTCATTCCTTGTAAAAGGTTCTGGTTCTGGATCTTCCAGCTGACTTAAAAGTATGCTACTGACAGCATTAGTCAAAACGGGCCATTCCAGATTGTTGCCAAGTCTGTCTCATAGTTCAGCAACCCTTTGGGAAGCAATAAACCGTGTGCCTGCTGGTGCTTTTTCAGGAAGAACTGTCAGGGCGCAGAGACTTTCGAGGGGAGCTGGTGTTCACCGTGGACCCCAAGACGGCGCGAGACCTGGACGATGCCATCTCGTGTCGCCGCCTTGTCGTGGCCGAGGGGGACACGCGTGATCTGTGGGAAGTTGGTGTGCACATAGCGGACGTGTCGCGCTTTGTGCAGCCCGGTACACAACTCGATCAGGTGGCCCAGAAGCGGGCTACCAGTGTCTACCTTGTGGAGCGGGTGAGTGGATGCGTGGCTGTGATCTTCAGATAGAAACCATTTCCTTATACCTCTGTTGCTCAGATCACAAAGGTGCAAATGAAGTTGGGGCCAGCATTCATTAACAGTCTAGTGCTATTCCCATCATTCCACCGCAGCCTTCACCTTGGCCTGTTGCACATTATCACAATCAATATGTACCGTATTTACTCACGTAATTTTCGCACTCACATAATTCTCACACACCCCGCATTGTTCCAGAAAATTATTTTCTTTTTTTTCCAGTAATTATCGCACCCCCCAAAATCTTTCTCTATTCTTTCTTACCTGTTATAGGTCTGTGAGTTTCACAAATATTTCTGTGCAAATAAAAGGGATTCAAGATCATTACATCATTGTGGTTGCCACAGACCGCGCTGCACCTTTAAGTGGCGCACCACACTGTGCTGTACTTAATTCGAGAAAATCCCTAGCAGGCACACATAGGAAAGCAAAAGAAGGAAGAAGAAATACTTTGCACACAGAACGACGAATTCTTGCCCCATTTCATAAAAAACACCAACGCTGCAATCATATACGGGATGCGTTATGTGAGGTCGGGTTAGATATGGGAAAACAAAAAAGCATGCCCTGCTGGCATTGTTTGATGAACAGTACAGCCCCTTCGCCCCCTTCTTTATGGAAGCTGTCTTGTCTTTCGAAAGAAGGAAACACATTCATTTTTGTAGCGCACACGCAGTGCTCATTTGTTTCTACTGCAAAAAAAAATGTCTTTAGAAAAACACTCTGCTGGAATATTTTGAGTTCAAAAACCAAAGGAAGTTATACTAAGGATGATAATAATAGTAATTTCTACAATATAGTTATATGGATTGCATATTTCTGCAAACAACCATACTATGGTAATAAAATAAATTCAACTCAAAGGCATAAATGTCAGAGCCAGCATAAAACACTCAATTAAATTACATTGTGTTTTAGCTACAAAATCTAAAAGAAAGAAATTGGATTGATTAATCTCTTTAGATTGATAAATCTTGCCCCGCCGCGGTGGTCTAGTGGCCAAGGTACTCGGTTGCTGACCCGCAGGTCGTGGGATCGAATCCCAGCTGCAGCGGCTGCATTTTCGATGGAGGTGAAAATGCTGTAGGCCCGTGTTCTCAGATTTGGGTGCACGTTAAAGAACCCCAGGTGGTCTAAATTTCCGAAGCCCTCTACTATGATGTCTCTCATAATCATATGGTGGTTTTGGGACGTTAAACCCCACATATCAATCGGTGTCATCAGATTGATAAATCATAGTCTGAAAACACTAAATTTGTTCATTTTACTCCCATAATCATATTAATATTGAAGACAATCAAGATCAAATATTTATTTTCAAATTTGCTGCAAAATCCTCACGCATGACATCACAAGTTTCACCTTTTTTTTTGCACATTTTAGCAAGACTCTTTAACGATACATATTGATGCTTGGTATGTGAAGTTCACGGTGGCCTCGGAGATTTATGCGCTTCATTTTCACGGGTTAAGAACTACATAGGGCCAAGTAGACATCGATGAAATTCATGAGATCATGGCGCTTGGGGTGAGAATTGCGACGTGGCATTTTGTTCCACGCGTTTTGTTACTCATCAGGTGTCGTCTCACTGCAAGCGTCATTATTTTAGAATTGTTAAAGAAGGATTTACAAATCTAAGGAAAAAAATTTTTCTCTTTGGTGTCCTTTTAAAATCTTAAGGGGAGACGTGGGTCGAAAAGTCGTGGTTTTCTTTTAAAAAAAATCACTTGTTTGGTTTACTTTGTATTGTCATCTTTGGTGTATGACCCTTTATTTCTGTAAATATCAAGCCGCAGTTTGTACGAGAAGTCACCCAAAAGTGCACCTAAGTGAGCGGCGGTGACACCAGAATTCAACAAAAGTCGCAAAAATTCGCGCCGTTTGCGTTGTTGCGACGTGGTCGGGCAGTGCCGCCTGCCATTTGCAATTATCGGGGCGCGCAGAGTCACCCCTCTCCTCCAAGATTCTATGACCGCTTGTCTCGTATGTTCTTGGAGAATAAGAGAAAACCAAGAAAGAAGACGCGACCGTCACATGTTTTGAATTGCGGGCCAACCAGCGCGGCGCCGCCATTGGACGGCAGCACTCCTTACGTGTAGTGAAGCCGTATCACAGCTGCCGCGCGTTCTTGCAAGCAGCAGTTTTCCGTGTTCACTCTGTGTTTTCTTGAGATGACAAGCCCGAAAAAGAGCAGTTCCGACGTCCGAAAGTACAGAACTCACCACAAGTACTGAGGAAATTGACATAAGCCGCTCCGAAGAACGACAGCCGCGAACGACGCCCGCGATGCTCCGGTTACGCCTACTGCTGACGTCGGTCACCACGACATCGGCAACCACGACGTTTCTGAAATCGACGCTGCTGTGGAGTTCGTCAGTGCATCACAGGAGAAGATGGAATTCTTTAAAAGGGAGGCACAGTCGCCTGGTGCTTATGCTGCTAGCACGTTACTGTGCGAGATTGGCGCATTGACAGCACTGATGGCAGGTTCGGCATGCCCCGCTTGCCGCGAACGGAAACTCGCCCCCCGAGAAGTAGCTGAGAAACGCAAAAAACTTTCTTCCTCCTTAGAGCTACGTTGCGACAATGCCGAGTGCCCGGAGCCTGTGCTTTCGTCTACGCATACATCGAAGCGGATCAACTCGGCCGGCGATTGCAGTGAGCCCCGCGCGAACATTCGCTACGACAGCGGGAGCTCGTGCGACGGATTCGCCAAAAACGTGCAGGCTGTTTTGGCAACGCGTGCGATAGGTGCAGGACATGACCAGCTTTCACGATTTTGTGCGATCATCGGCCTGTCAAAACCGATGCATCAGAAGACATTTCATGGTATTACCGAGAAGCTCCATTGTACTGTTATGAAGGCTGTTAGCTAAAACTTGGAAGAGGCACGAAAGACCACGAAGGACGCCATCGGCGGCGGCGATGTGCCGGTCATGTTTGACGGCACTTGGCAAAAAAGGGGCCATAAAAGCCACAACGGAGTGGGCACAGCTGTGTCCCTGGACACAGGTCTTTGCGTCGACTTTGAGGTTCTTTCGAATGACTGCCTCGCTTGCAGTATACACAAGGACAGAGGTGGTGATCAAGAAATATGGGAAGCCTTCCACCGCCCTGTATGTGAAAAAAAGTGTTCATCCCATACAATGGAATCTGAAGCAGCAGTGAGCATATGGCAGAGGACATTGTTATACAATACCCCACTGCGCTTCACAAATTTTCTGAGTAATGGCGACAGCAAGGCCTACACTGCTGTCTGTGAGGCAAAGGTGTATGGCAATACTGTCATCGAAAAAGAAGAGTGCACCAACTACGTCTCAAAACGCCTAGGCACTGCTTTGCGAAAAATGGCAACGCCACTGCCACGAGGGGAAAAGCTAAAAGTCACAGCCATTCAGAAGCTGTACACATATTATCAAATAGCTATAACAAATAACAAGGGCAGTGTCCACAGCATGTACACTGCTATGTGGGCCTCCTATTTTAATTCTTGCTCCAGTGATGGAGCCAGTAGCCATAAATTTTGCCCTGCTGGACCAGACTCGTGGTGTAAGCATAGGCGTGCTGAAGCACTGGGGGAGCCTACACCAGGCCACACCCCCTTGTTGACTAAAACAGGGCTTGGCAATTATGCCTATTTATAAGCGCCTTACTGATGAGAAGCTCCTGGCTTGGTGCCTCCATGGAAAGACGCAAAACACAGCCGAGTCACTCAACAGTAAAATATGGCTGCTGTGTCCAAAAACGAAATTTGCTTCCTGGACATCTGTGGAGACAGCCACAACTATTGCCGTGCTGTGGTAAAATAAAGGCTATGCCAGCTTTGAGCATGTCCTACAAGAGATTGGAGTACTTCCCCCAGAAGAGTTGGCCACGCACACTGACCGTTGCGATGACCTGCGCATAAAGAAAATGAAGTTGAAGTGTACGGAAGAAGCAAGGGCACACTGTCGGAGTGTAGTGAAAAGGGCTTGCACCGAGGAGACCAACTGTAGGAGCCGTAAAGGGCCAAGCTACGGTGCGGGAGGGTTCTGAACACTTTGTGTGCTTTCCATGAAGGCTGCTATATAATGTGATCGAAGATTCACATCGTAACAATTTAATTTTCAAGAATACATGCTTTTGTAACTTTCAAGCCTGTTTTTCTCATTTTCAAATTTTTTGAAACTTGCATGTATTCCGGGAAACCTTTCCTACACCTAGAATTGGCGCATACTAATGAAATTTGGCGTACATACTCTTCAAGGTATGTAGAGTGCCAATATCTACTTGAAATTGTGCTACCTCTCAGTAGTAATTACAATAAAACAAGGTTATGTTTTAGGGAACTGAGAAAAACAATGGTTGAAATGTCATAATTTTTTTAGCACTTTCCAGTAACTGTACACATTTTTTTGCTAGATATCGGCACTCTATGATCTACAAAGAGCTAAATAAACCATAGCACGATACTTTTTGTGAAAGCTTAGTACATGAAAATGTGCCCGTACTGTAGACAGCTATAATTTGTCATTTAGTATAATATAACTCAATAACTATATCAGCTACACAAAAACTAATTATAGATTTGAAATCTACATGAAGAACTTTCTAATTAGCTGAATTTCCAAGTCTTTAGCACAAATAATAAAAAAAATTTTCGAGGAGCGTATCCCCTTAACAGTGCAATAAAATAAGCACAAAAAATGACAGCATTTTTTGTCATCACAGCTAATTATAACCAACGCAATTACAATTGTTGCTGTTTGTTTCTTCATTTTTCAACCGGAGCTTTTTGAGACCCTTTATACAACGAAATGCATTTTGAAGTGTAACTCGCATAGTACAGTTAGTGTCAAGTAGTTTTCTGAAGTCATTAAAGCTTTCGCTCTCAAAAAACTTGTCATTGTTATTCTTAGGAGCACTAAAAAAGAATAATTTATGACTGTTGCACAAGCTCATATCCAGTTCTGCAAGCTGGCTCGTGAAAGTGGTTGAAACGCTGTTATTTTGCCATTTCGCGAGCAAAAGTGAGATGCCGGCCCTGCTGCAGAGCCACGGAAAGGAAACAAAGCGGGAAGTAGCTGCACTGCCGCTACTTTCCCTGCAGGTAGAGACAGGTGCAAGCAAGGGGAGAGCAATCCGGTCGCACCACTCAAAAGTTCAAGTACACTCTAGCTGCGGCCTGTGCTAGTCCGTGTAGAGTACATTGTTGTGTTGGTTCTGTGGTTCGTTATGGGTTAATATGGAAGCTACATGGCTGCTTTCAAGTTAAAAATGAGCGATCATGCACTAAAGAACGGCAATAGGGCCACCAGTAGGCACTTCGGAGTTGGTGAGTCCGCTACTGGCAACGGCAGCACAAGTAGCTGAACGCCACTGACAAGACGCGCCAGGCATTACGTGGGCCTAAGACTGGGAAATATCCACAGGTTGAGGTGGCACTTCTCGATTACGTCAAGGGTCTCAGTGCGATGACCCTCGAGACACTATTTTCTTGTGGCTTTTGTGTCTGCAAATAAATCTTTCTTTGTATTGATTATGGGGTTTTATTTTCAAGGTACATCTTGATTACTACTTCTGAAAGCTCGTAGTTAGTTGCTGGTTGAGAATTCTGCTTTGCAGCCGCTTCATTTTTTTTTTTTTTTGTACGTTTTGACGGAAAATATTCCCAGGGTAATTCCCGCACCCTCCAACTTTTCATCAGTTTTCTGCAAAAAAAATGTGTGAAGATTATGCGAGTAAATAAGGTATATTGCAGATTAACTCAACAAAACAAAGAATTGCTATGCAGTATAAATATTCCGAACCTTTACCTGAAAGGGATAGGCAGACCACTGGCGTGAGAATGTTTAGGACCATGCTAGTTTAAGAAAAATAAACCTTATCTGGTGACAGGAATTCTTGCTTTGCCATTATAAAGTACAAACAGTGCGAAACTCTACATGGGAACACAAAAGAGGAGGCAAAGACAAGCGCTGACTAGCAACTAAAGTTTTATTCTACACGAAAAAATATATACCTAGAAACATGGAAAACAAATATATATAAAGCATCACAAGATTTCTTTCAAGGGATCATCTCACGTGCTCTTCCAAAAAAAAAAAAAGCTAATTATTTCGCCGATAAACAGAGATGCCATGCTGATGCATAACGAACCTTCTTGTGCAATATGGCCAGCTTTATTTTGCATCTGCGCTGGTCGTGACGGCATGCTTTTGGCTTGCAGTAGTATTGCTAAGTTTCATCACTCAGGATAAGTTACCTGCAGCCGCTTTCTTGAAAAGCAGGGGCCCCTTCACAGGGACAACTTCGGTTTTCCCACTTGAACTGGCCGTCTTGGACATCTCATTAAAAAGTTAATTATTTAGTTTCTGTAACTAACACTAATTAGGAGATAAATTATTTGAACATGCATGTTTTTCTTCTAAAATTACATATTTTCAGTAGTGTATAATTATTGTATACATGAAGCGCCATCTCTTCAGGAATAATTGAGCTTTGTTTGTTGAGTTATACGTTTTTTTACACTAGGATGCAGCATTATGTCCAGCACAGGTACAGGAGCCTAAAGCACAGCCACTCGTACACGGTTAGCTGAGAAAGCACGGCCACGGACTACGTGCATTTTACGCTGGGGCTTTTAGTGAAAGTGATGATGTCTTTAGTGAGGTAGAGAATTGCAGTGTAGACCACTTAAACATAACCGCTTATACTGCAGAACCAGTTACAGTGTGGTCTTTTGTGACTCCCATTTACCCTCCCTCAGAACCTCATGTATACGCGCACTAGTTATTGTGCAGTCCTTGAAGCTGAAAGAATGGTTATAATGCAGTTGTCGGAAAATCTTCGTGACAATGCGGTAGCGAGTGCGCGTCTCAAGGAAGGCGCACTGGGTGTGCCGCTGGGGAGTGAACGACGAGGTCGTCATCGAAGGAGCAGGAGACGCGGAGTGAACGAATAAAGGGCAAAGGGAAAAAAAGGAAAAGGAGAAAAAGAAAGCAGTTGTCTCGGCGATGTGCACCGACGTTGCCGCTGTGTACTAGCGTGGCTCCAGCTGCACGCTGCTCAACATGGCACGTGCGGTTCCCTTATCATCTGCACTTAACAGTTTCCTGTCTGGTAAAGGATCGTCATTATCGAGTTAGCTACAGATACCACGTTTGCTACCTCGTCTGTAAGTTAGAAAGCTTTTACGGTTTTATAATGCGAGCTTTCACCTTTGCTGCCTACTTTACAAGCTTGGCAGGTTTTCATCATTGATGTCTTGCTGCGAATGTGAACTTCATATCACGCACGCTGTTCTTGGTTCATTTACTTGAGTGCGATCTTTTCAACTACACTAGATCTTCACCTCTTGGACAACTTCCCGCTACAGCATTCCAAACATTACACGCTAAACCTAATCGGCAATACTTGCATTTCGTAGCAGTCCCGTGCTCAGTTGCAGTCTGGTATGAAATTAATGATACTCTTTGCAGTGGCCGTACTTGACGGGAAGGGATACATATCGTTAATGAAAACGAAGGTGGCACGTGCAGCCCTCGAATTGTAGTTAGCGATTCAATTGCAATGTCTGTGCGCACGTGTGTAAAATCGAATGATTGGCGTCTTTCAGCACTTATAATTTAGAACGTGATTCGACATAGTTTCTGTGTAATGCGCATAATCGATGTGGTCTTAGTAGTCGGCGAATTTTCGCGACGGTGCTTTCTTTTGTTAGGCCCTTTCCTTCCCTTTTTGTGTTCATTTCGTTGGCACCGCATGTCTTAGGACGTTAAATCTTTTTTAATATCTGAAAATTTAAATGGTTGTAAGCACGACACGTTGCATGCTTCGATTCTCGAACACACAAGGCTGCATGCTCAACACATTTTTCGCAAGTGCGGCCCTTGAAAAAGACTGCTTTGGTTATTGTGCATTATTGCTTACAGTGCAGATATTCATGACTTACGTTATAAGCGGTCTGAACTGTACTTGCCTTCATCAGATAGTGATGACAGTTATTCGCCAGAAGTGAGTGACGAAGACGACAACGGTGCATCATTATAATGTGAGCTAGGTTTTTTGTCGTAAGGTGATGAAATGGTGATGCAAGCTTTTTTTTTCTTGCTTCTGGAGGTTTCAATTCTGAAGTTTTATTTGAGGCGCACACAGCTGTAGAAGCATGGCCAGAATGAACAGCAACACCTGCAGTACTGCCACAACCTCATCCAACAGCTTGTGAGTGACGGGGGGGTTCGAGCCCACAAGTGGGGCCCGTCTGCATGCACGGAAAAGAGTGGGAAGAAAGGCTAGCTGGGAGGTGCCATTTTATCTACAAGCTCCCAGGCCGAACCACCAGGGACTGCGCCGCTCGTAGTAATAGGCAAACAAGAGGAGGCCGGAGAGACACTGTTTTTCTTCAAAACCTGCAGTAGAACTCTGGCCTGAACACAGGAGAATGCTTTGAGTGGTATCATACACTGCCGAAATATAGCGAGTGAAGTGGCCTGCAGTATGCTGGAGGAGAAATAAATATCCTGTGATTTTTCTTCCACAGTGTTTTGCTTCGCATCACCAGAAACTGGAAAAATAGTTTTGTACCGGTACAGTCAGAAACGGGGTAAAAGGTTGACTTGCAAAGGGTTAATCTGATGTCAGCCTAGCCAATTTTAAAATGTCAGCCACTGCAGCAAAAATAGCTGTGAAGGCAACGAGCAAATGTGTTGTTTTCCTTATTCTCAAGGATTCTTCTCTTGGAAGACCTGGCATGGTCCCCACTGAACTCTCTTGCGGTTCTCAGGTGATTCCTATGCTGCCACGGTTGCTGTGTGACCACCTGTGCAGCTTGCACCCCGGCGAGGATAAGCTCACCTTCTCGGTGGTCTGGACGCTCACATCCGACGGTCGGGTGTTGAGCGAATGGTTTGGCCGCTCCATCATTCGGTCATGCTGCAAGCTAAGCTACGAGCATGCTCAGGTCAGGCTCGTTCATTTACTTTTGTTACAAGTACCTCGTGGCTCTTCGTGGAAACAGGGGTGGAAGGGGCTTGTTTTGTTTGACATGTTAGCAGAATAAAATATGCAAAACAAGTAAATATTATGCTGGTACATATGCCAAGTTTTTGTTGCATAAATTGAAACAAACATATATGTGATAAGCAGTAGCTATACACATTTGAAACGTGAAAATGCAAGCATGAAATACAAGTGAACAATGTTTGAATGGATGAAAGCTCCAAGGTGAATGGGGATAAAGCACTTAGACGAATATTCAAGCACTTCGAATATTTGAACTTAAGTCACAATATTCGTATTCTCTTCAACGTGAATTTAAAACATCTGAAATTTACAAATACCCAAAACTAACGAGGTGACTTGTACTCTACACTCTTACTAAACAGAACCTGAAGGGACCAGAAATATATGTTCCATTTAACAGGAGGTTTATGTGCTGAAAGGTACAAGAACGAAACGAAAACTAATCCTGTAAGAAGCACTCGTTCCAATAAGACGCAGTTCCTCTTAAGAGATATCTGTTCACGGATAGTCTGTTGTGTTTCATCATCGCGTTCAGCCCCCCTGAGAAGGTGGTTTCAGCTTTTTTACAAAGCCCCATAGCCACACTTCAAGTACAAATGTGCGTGTTACCTGCATCTTATTTAGTTTTTGTAAGTTTAAAAGCGTGTTACATGGGCTTATACACACTGAGTAGAGTAGACAAGGGAGCATATTTTACGGTTTGTAGCTTGTGCTTCTGTTGTTATTCACAGACGCTATTCCAGGCTGCTTTTATTTTGATTTGACTGAAAAGAGTCACTTCATGCAAGCCTTGTTTCGAACCTTGAAAATATTGTGAAAGCTAATTGGGTCATGGCAGTGTTGCTTATTTTTCTTGGTAACAAATTATGTGTACCATTTGAACTAATGGATTCAGAATTATTTGACCAAATATATTCGCTTCAAATTCGTGTAGAACCTCATGCTTACTAATTTCCCATCCCTATTCAGATTTTGATCAACAGGCATTAGTGTAGTGCTCTTTGTTTTTTATTTTTAGTATGTGATATTTTTCTACAGTGAAATGTCATTGAATGGACCCCCAATAATTTGAAGAACCACATAATTTGTTTGGGTTCTTTAGTCCCAGCAAGCATCGGCATTCTTTGGGGTCGGAATGGGGACAGCCATACAGTCGGGCAACCAACAGGTTTATGTGTAAATTCATTATTCTACTTTTGCATTATACAAAGAGCTCGCCACCTAAATCTGTCTAGTGAATCACTAGTGACACGCTAAGTAACCATCTACAATGTATCCAATACAACACACAAACAACATAACGAATACAAGGTATTGCGAATGTGGCATCACCGGCATTCGACTCGCAACGAGGAATTAACAGGAAACGACCCGTGCTGTGCTCCGCCTGGACCCATCACATGAGACACCATCTACACACGCTGCCAAACCCCAAAGAGACTGGCTATTGTTTTCTGCACACCGGCCTAAGCTCATCTTTGCCAGGCAGCACAGCTGGTGCTACCACACTAAACTTAGAGCACAGTGCCACATCTCACTCGGCTGCCGTTATACCTTACTGCAGCTAATCCACGAGATGTGTGTGTGCCATGAGGTGCAAACAACTTTACCGAGGGTGATACAACTCTCACAATTGTTTAATGGCATCAAACTTCAAACTGTTTTTTATTCAGTCATATTTGACCTCAGCACGGTTGAGACGGTTCTCGAAGTTATCCAAGCATGAAGCACTGCTAATGTGTGATGTAGAGAAGCGAAAACAGCTTTCACAAACCACGAATCGAGTGCAGTCACAAAAATGTGGGTGCCATTAACAGCATTGTCACTATTTCGTTGTTAACGAGCAAGAACGCTTTGACAAATACAAATTTGTTTTGCTTTTTATTTTACTCAGCCTTGATAATGGCTGGCATCAATGCGACAACAAGCAGTTACCCGATTTTTGCCATGTACCTTTCAAACTGCAAGGTTACCATATGGTAACTGCAAGGTTACCATATGATTGTGCGACTCAAACTTATTCGGCAGCAGATGCAAAGCTGAGTAGTCTCGTTTGACTCCAGACGTGTAAATTTGAACGTCATTGGTGGTGTCCCACGTCGGTGGTCCTGCGATGTGGGGGGTGAGTGATGCAAAAAATTATTATCATATGATGAGGTAACGCGGTGATGTCACGACGTCACAGATCGGCAAAATTTATGACGTCCCATGGCACAATGTCACATGGTGACATCATCACATGATATTGTAGCTTTGTCAGATATTGTCTAATCACAAAGGCGATGCTAAACCAGGGAAAGTGCAAGATTCTGAAGGCGATACAAGACAAAGTTAGGTTTCATAAAGCTTTCTAAGGGTGACCCGGCAGGAACAACGAATCGGTAAAAAAAATAACAAGATAGCTGTTGCCTTTAATTTGTTTCGAGTGAATGCATAAGGGACTGGGCGGGTTATTTCTTCTGCGAGCATCTCAGAATGAATCCGATCCCAGCCTCCACTCAAACACATTTTGACGGGGCAGTTTGTTGTCATGCACCAAGGAAATTTAACAGAAAAACAATCCTGGCAGCGGCTAATGTAGCTGGACATGTTTGTGCATGATAACGAGTACAAATGCACTAATTGTGTCACTTCACAAATTTCTGTAGCCACACTTTGTATCCGCACACAGTGCATATTTCTGCCTAATTTTAAAATAAGAAAGCACTTAGCCCTGCAGCATGCACAATGTGCACCACAGTCGACTTGTGCTTGGGCAAAACTGGCTTGTAGGGCTCCATGCGGTTGTTACGGAACTTTTGGCATTCACTTGGTCGAAAATTATGCAAAGATTTATCTGTAACTTGTATTAATTTGACATAAAAGCATGTTAGGTCTCACGGTGCTACATACATAATATCTTCGCAGTGGTAAGTGACCAAGAACTCTGAAGCCATTGTTAGGAGCTGTGTAACGCACCTTTCGTATTATTCTCAGAACATTTGAAGTTGTAGATAATATGCAAATTAATGGCATAGTTTACAGGTAAATGAGGAAAATTCATGTGAGCCAGAACAGACTGTACAAAAGTGACCGCTTCAACGTTGATCGTGTCTCAAACAGCGTGCGTAACAAGTGCAGTTGTGTTTGCACTCTGCCTTATTCCTAGCAAGATGGTGTCTTTCAGAACCCTCTGTATTTTCCCACTGAGAGCATTACTTACCACAAATCTATGCGATTCCTGCATGAGCTCTCGAAGTAGGAGCAGCCTTGTAAAACAAAGGCCTCCGTCATTTGTACTTTTTGCTCACATTTGTGGGGAAACCATCATCTTTTAGGACCTCCTGGATGACCCCGACCGGGAACGTGTGCCGGGCGAGCTTCCGGAAGTCTTTGGCAAGCACACAGTGGCGGAGATAGCTCAATGCCTGCACGTTCTGCATGGCATGACGGAGTCCATGCGCAGGCGCCGCTTTGAAGGGGGAGCTCTACGACTGGACCAGGTCAAGGTGGTCTTCTCACTTGGCGAGAACTTCCAGCCCTATGGTTTCTCTGTCTACGAGCACACCGAGAGCCACCGGTGAGGGGGGGCATTTGCATTAACCAGCTCATGTGTGTTGAAGGGAATCAAGTGAGAAAGGGGAATTTTCAGGGGGTGCTTTGTTCCTTTGTCACGCACAGCCAAATCAATTGGGTCTGACAGTTAGGCCAAGCGGTTATTGATTGTTGCCTCTAACTGTAGGTAATAAAAAAGTCACAGCTTTGCTGCAAAGGTGAAGCAATGAATGCGAGAGCAACGAATTAGAAGCTCATGCGCAAAATGGAAAGCAGATCGAAACGTGCCCCGTGTTTCTCAAGCACAAATTACGCAAGAAATGTACTCACAGGTACAGACGCACACAAATAAGCGCCTCAGTTGTTACCTCGCTGTGTCTAAAAAGCACGCGCTTTTCGCAACTGGAGACTGCAATGATTGCAGTGACCTTTGTGCGCCTGGTAAATACAGTGGACTCCCATTAAACGAAACTCAGTTAAATGGAAAAGCCGCATAAACGAAACTATGTAGGCACATTTAGTTGGTCTCCTATATATTTGATGATAAAAAGTTTTGAGTAATCGGAACATTTTTTTAACTTAGATTAGTTAAATGAAACTAAAACAGGCAAAATTTATGAACGGCGGAAGTGGCCACGGCAGTCTAGCAACCATGAAACAAATGCCAAAGCTAATCTAGCCTAGCCAATCCAATGATTGCTTTATACGCTTTATCGCTTATTTGTATAGTGATACAAATAAGCGATACAAATACGCTTTATCGATCATAGGACAAAGACTGCAATGTCTTCTTCGTCTCTGCCCTCGGCCAAGGCCACTCGTGCTGGTTCGTTGTCGCTGCCACTGGCACATACGTGCGCCAATATATAAAACAGTTCACGTACCTAACAGCTGAAGGGTGTGCGTCTGTGCGTCCGGAAGAAATCACTTTGGTGGGCATTGTGTCGGCACTGGTCCGAGGCGCTGTTTTTAGCACTGTAACTCCTTTGACGTTCATGACTAATCTAGGATCATCGTCGCAATTTTATATGTGCCAATTTAACTTTAAAATACTTTCGAATAAATACAAACACCAAGCACAACCACGCCGCCCGACACACTTGGCCGACAACAGCTGAGCTGTGGCTGGCTGTCGTCGGCTCGCACGCACACTTGCTGTCTTGAGCACTCGTGCTGTGGTCATGTCACAAAATCAAGTGTTTTTTTTTCTCGCTTTTTATTGCAATACTTTTCTCTCGTCAAATATACTCAGCTGCAGACACATTAAAAGATAATAAGAAGCATAGCAAACTGAAATGTTGGTGGAACAAATAAAAATAAAATGTAAGACATATAGCGCCTTCTAGCGACATTATTGCATTTTTATTTTTTTAAGCCTGTATTGCACTGCAGCATCTTTCAAATATTCGACCTTTACTGTTTTAGTTTGTACTGAGGTATGAATAATAATTTCTGTGTAACTCTTTCACGCATGGGCGACATGCAGTAAGAGAGAGCGGGCTGCGGCAGCGAACGTGAACACCGATGTTCGCTATTCACGTGCTCGAACAAGCTCGCCTACGTATTCACTATGTGCAGGTGCGACTGAAAGATATACGAACAGCGCTGTCTTTACTGGATTTGTCTTTACCGTGCTCTTGCTTGGTTACGCTAGTCTCGTTATTGTGCATCATGAATGACTTGTCTTTTTATTACCACCAAGGCTACAAGTGTTCGGGAAGTAGCGCGACAACCAAAGCGGGAAGACGTACTGTTCACGTTTCTTTTTTTTAATATTCGAAGAACCATAATCACCCACCGGCTGAAATGGACGATGCATTCATTACGGGTATACACATTCAAGCAGGCCTTTTCTACCGTACACTTTGACTACGATCATTTCGTTAATAGTTGATTTTCCCAACCTGTTTGCACTTTGAAGGAAAGCAGTACACTGCTGCCCCTAGACGAACAACGCGACTCTCTGCTGAAACGCTACCTGTAGTCACGTTCTTTTTTCAACTCTATGATAAGTTTTCCTTCTGTGAACACTTATTTAGTGGGCTTATATAGCCTACAAACATTATAATCATAATCTTGAGTGCAGAACGAAATTATTCAAGTTCATAGTTGGACGTCAAATTACTTTGGTGATATTTATTAAAATATATGGTTGCGATATTTTTGAATACATATATATCTGTCACTTTGCTCATATATTGAACAAATCAAAAACTCCCTTTTGATTGAATTTGCCAATGAGTGAAATACATATATGAATGGCCTCTTAATACCATGCATACAACCTCACAATTGATTCTGGTGGCAATTCACACCAGCTAGTTTTATAAATGACAAATAGAATTAATGATTCTATAGGCGAAAAATACGTCTCCCCTATCAGAGCCTATGAGTACCAATATGCATCAATAGCTATCGCCTATAGGTACCAATACATATTTATTGTTCTGATAGGGTGCAAATGGCTGTCTCCTATTGAACCTTAATGGTGCCAATACGTGTCTTTTGGTTCTATAGGTGACAAATAGCTACAACCTATAGGCACCCTATTGGTCTTATCAGTGACAAATAGTTGTGGTCAATTGGTTTTTATTGGTTCCGGTGGAATTCTAATAATATCAATAAAATACCAATACAGCTCTTATAGAACCAATAAGATTTCTTTATAAGGACCAATACATTTTTCTATTGGCATTTTTGCTAGGGAGGCTATTACCGTATTTACTTGATTCTACCGCGCCCTCGATTGTAACGCGTACCTGGTTTCCACGACGAAAAAAATAAGTAAGACATCGATTGTTACGCGCGCCCATTTTTCGCGATAGAAGAGAAAGAGAAAAAAAAAAAAGTCCTTAAGAGTCAACCTTCGCACATTGAGAACAAGTATTTGAGTTTTGATGCACTGAATTTTCGAAAGAAAAAACACAGTCAAGCAGCCGGCCCTGCAGCTAAAACTGTGACCACTAGGGCGGCGTTATGAGTTGTGTAATAAATCAGTCCTCCTCGCTGTCGGACAGCTTCTCATCTCCCGGCTACGGCGGCTGCATTTCCGATGGAGGCGGAAATGTTGTAGGCCCGTGTACTCAGATTTGGGTGCACGTTAAAGAACCCCAGGTGGTCGAAATTTCCGGAGCCCTCCACTACGGCGTCTTTCATAATCAAATGGTGGTTTTGGGACGTTAAACCTCACAAATCAATCAATCAATCAATCAATCAATCAATCAATCAATCGGACAACTCCTCATCGGTGTCAACGGCCCAAAGCATCTCATTCTCTGTACCGTCCATGGCTTTCGAGAGGCCACATTTACTGAATGCCGTGATGACCATGGCTGATAGTATTGCACACGACGTGTCCTCCACGCACGCAGCGAAGTCTTGGAGAGAGGCGTGCTGCATCCTGTTGCCTGGCATGAAATCATGGCATGCATTATCAGCCAGTCAATGTAGAGCGCCCGAATCTTGTCCTTCGCCGGCTTGTTCAGGCAGACATCTAGCGGTTGAAAATGTGACGTCATGCCGCCAGGTATGACTACAAGGTCCGTATTGCACGCAGCAAGCTTGTCCTTGATCCACTGGTCGAGATGGTACCTGAAAGCATTGAGCACGAGCATCGCTCGGAGGCCAAACCGGGGCCAGGCCGCTTCTGCCAGACGTGATGGATCCAATCGGCGACCAGGTCCGTCGTCATCCAACCTTTTTTGTTGGCCCGCACGATCACACCACTCGGGAAAATGACTCCTTTCGGGAACGTCTTCCATTTCATTAACAGGTACGGGTGAAGCTTGTGCCCATCTGACATGCAACAGAGCATTGCCGTCACTAGTTTTTTTCGTGGCCCGATGTCAGCTTCTGAACTTGCTTCACCCCCTTCTTCTCAACGGTTGTAGTGCCAGGCATGTCGAAGTAAAGAGGCGTCTGATCGGCATTCCCGATTTGTCTAAGCAGGCAGCCATTGTGCTACAAGTTTAGGACGAACCTCTAAAAACTGTGAAGCTTTTCTTTGTACTCCTCCAGCAACTTTTGGCATATGCCGGTCGCCTTCTGAGGGAAAAGCCTTTCCTCTTCATAAAGTTAGTTAGCCAGCACCTGCTTGCTTTGAACAGGCTCCGCGTTAGCCCTTTTTCTAAGGCTAACTGCATAGCCCGCACTTGGAGCAGTTCTATCCCACATTGTGCTGCTCACTGCTCAAGCACATACTCGTCGAGCAGCTCTTCAATTTGCGGAAACCGACCCTGCTGTAGTCCACTGAAGCCTTTACGAGAAGCTTTGCTGTTGACAATTTTCTGCTTTTGTTTCCGCAAGTCCCACATGCACGTTCCGAGAACTCCGAACGACCGTGATGCAGCCCGATTTTCATTCGTTTCTGCACACTCGATGATTTTTCTTTTAGAAGCGGCATCGTGGTGCACTCGTCAAGTCTTTAGAGTCGGCCCTTTCATGCCGTCGATGGTAATGCACTACAAGATGATGAACTCCTCAGCACACGTACGAAGTGCCGCGCACGGGAAACACAATGGTTGAAATGGCCGACGCGCGTAAGAGGCGGCCATTTTTGAAATGCCAATGGCAATAGAATGACCGTATTCATTCTTTTCTTGTACTCGATTCTAACACGCATGCGATTTATGAACCCTCTTAACCGGGAAAAAGGCGCGCGTTAGATTTGAATAATTACGGTACCGTATTTACTCGATTCTACCGCGCCCTCGATTGTAACGCGCACCCGATTTCCACCGCGGGAAAAAAAAAAAAAAACGTAAGGCATCGATTGCAACGCGCATCCATTTTTCTCGCTGGCCCGCACGATCACACAACTCGAAAAAACGACTCCTTTCGGGAGCGTCTTCCATTTAAATATGAGGTACGGGCGAAGCTTGTGCCCATCTGACGTGTAACAGAGCATTGCCGTCACTGTAGTTTTACCGTGGACCGATGTCAGCACGCGAACTTGCTTCGCCCCCTTCTTCTTGACGGTTGTGGTGCCAGGCATGTCGAAGTAAAGAGGCGTCTGATCAGCATTCCCGATTTGCCCAAGCAGGTAGCCGTTGTTGCGCCGCTAGTTTAGAACAAACCTCTGAAAACTGTGAAGCTTTTCATCGTACTTCTCCGCAAAACTTTTCGCATATGCATGTTCCTTCGGAGGGAAAAGCCTTTCCTCTTCATAAAGTTAGTTTACCAGCACCTGCTCGCTTTAAACTGGCTCCGCATTAGACCTTTTTCTAAGACTAATTGCATAGCCCGCACTTTGAGCAGTTCTGTCGTCACGGGCCGCTGAAGCCTTTGTGTGAAGCTTTGCTGTCGACAATCTTCTGCATTTGTTTCCGCCGGTCCCGCACGCACGTTTCGGGAACTCCGAACGACCGCCATGCGGCCCGATTTTCGTCCGTTTCTGCACACGCGATGACTTTTCTTTTAAAAGCGGCATCGTGGTGCACTTGAGTTTTTGGAGTCAGCCCTTCCACGCCGTCGATGCTAATGCACTACTAGATGACGAACTCCTCAGCACACGTACGAAGTGCCGCACATGGGAAACACATAGGCAGAAATGGCCGACGCACATAGGGGGCGGCCATTTTGGATGTGCCGATGGCAATAGATTGACCGTAATTTTTTTGTTCGTACTCGATTATAACACCCATGCGATTTTTGAACTTGCTTAGCCGGAAAAAAGGTGCACGCTAGATTCGAGTAATTACAGTACTTACATTCTGCCGAAAGTCAAATTCTGTTACTATTGTTGCTCTCTCTTGCTTTGAACCAAGAAAGAATGACATTAGCACTAGCCTTGTTTCAGTTAAAAAATAAATATTGTGCAGGTTAGTTAGGACACAAAAAGTTTGTTCTTTTTTCTTTTCTTTATAGTATGCGATGTGTACTATTTCAATTCGGTTCCAAATCGAACCACTCTTCAATTTTAATTCGCTTTCAATGTAAAATTTGCTGTTAGCATGTGCCTGGTATCTGCCCTCCTCCCTGACACTGCTCTCGGCTGTGCAGTGTGATTGAGGAGCTGATGCTGCTGGCCAACATGGCTGTGGCTCACCGGCTGTACAAGGCGTTTCCCGAGGAGGCCTTTCTGCGCTCCCACCCTCCACCCGACGACGCCCAGCTGGTCGAGGTGGAAGCGCTGTGCTCCGCCTACGGGGTCCCCCTGGACACCAGCTCGGCTGGCACTCTGCAGGTGCTTTGACCCCTCTGGCATGCACCACAGATGGCGACGATGCTAAGAATAAGTCCAAAAGCAGGAAGTCTGCTACTTGGTTCAGTATACACTCAAACCTCATTATAACGAAGTTGCATCTTACACGAAATTAAGTTTGCTATATCCGAAAATTCCTTATAAAGGGTTTTTCCTAACACTATACCTACTGCAAGACAATTTTTCACTTACTTGGTTATAGCCTACATTTCGTGATATCTAGTTTTGTTATATCAACGTTTGAGCGTACATGCTAAAATATTGGTAGCGCAAACTCATGGGATGCAAAGGAGGAGCCAAACTGCACTCCTTTGACTTATCCTTGGCGTCCCATTAATTCGCATTGCCAATATTTCAGTATGAACCTGTACCAACTTAGCCCGCCTTTCGACCCTTCTTGGTTCAGCATTTTTGCAGGGCATAAAAAAAATGCATGCTTTAGATTGGCCAAGGAGACAGACAACAGAGAGCCCCTTGTCACGTGTGAAGTGGGCATTTTTTTTTTTTTTGAGCTATGCAAACGCTGCTCAAAAAACATTTTTAAAATTTATTTATTATAATCTCGATTGCACTATTTACAGAGGAGACTGGGGCTTTAAAACTTAGCAAAGCGTAGGAGAAAAAATTACATTATTCACTAAGTTATTTATATAGTTACAGTGCAACTTCGATAATGTCCCCCGGTCCTGCGACCACCCGTGTTTCACGACGAATTGGCTTGGTCCTGGCAAAACTCCCATAGAAATAGTGCATTAAAAACCTCAATTGATGACACAATTTTAAACTGGCTCCGCTTCTAACGATGCTTCCCTGGACTGTTGAAGAACAAAAAAACGGCGGCGATGCTGCAGATTGGCACGCAAGCACGCTCCGGCCGGGCAGCCGAATGAAAAAAAGTCAAGAAACCAAGTTCGTTTCCTTGCGCATTCTAACTCTTGCCGTGCTGCCACCACAGAGCCTCTTCAATTTCTCGACACGCAATACGGTCGGCCTAGCTAGCTAGAGCCACCGTCAGCCAGAGTGCATTCGTTTCGCCGCATTGCACTGCACACTTCTATTGTGATCTTGTTTTTTTTTTTTTTTTGGTTGGTTCAAGGGTGATTTTCTTGAGCAGGTAAGTGGCAAATAATTTCGAGCTCGCTTTGTAGTATGCAATAACTATCACAAGATTTTCACATCGTTGCACCCAACATGTTGAGCAGCGATTGTTGACAGCTGCGGGAACCGGATCTATAACTGCCGTCAAGCCACGGTGTCTAGCTACTAGAGGGCTGGAGGATTTTAGCAGCACACTGAGGGACGAGGACCCTGGTATGTTTTAGCCACACGCGATTGGTCGAAGATTGTGCTGAGGTATGTGCTTGTGAAAATTGAATAAGGCCCACTACTATTCGGCCATTCCTTCACCTGTGTGCCTCATCGGTGGATTGTGTGCCGCAGCTGTCGTGTCCATGTGCAACATTTGTGCATTCTGGCATTGGTGTGCGAAGTTTCCAAATTATTGGTTGTGACTTGTGCGTCTCGCGATGACGTGGAACCGAAAACCGCTCACGCTCAAAGAAAATTTTTGCATAATTGAGGAAGTGGAGAAGCGGATCGGATCAACAAAGGCCAGCATTTTCCGCAACCTGAACATTCCCGAGTCGTCGCTGAAAATTATCTTCGCGAAGAAGGACAGCATCCTGCTGAATGCGTCAAAGTGCGGCCTGAACAGGAAGGCCACGAAATATGCTTAATATGCTGTCATGGAGAAGGTCCTCATTGAGTGGTTGCGTTGAATGTCGGGATCAGTAGATCAGTATAAGCCCTTTAATGACCAACCAGTGGTACGCAGTTCAGGTATTGTCGTGGATGGCGTGATTTTGAAGGCGAAGGCAGATGCTATTGCATTGCGCTATGGCATTGACGACCTTAAAGCCTCCAATCCTCCAATGGCTGATTGGACCCCCTTAAAAAACTCAATGAAGTTCCCCTTAAAATGGATCCCTTTAAAAACGCAATGGACCCCTCACAGCGAAAGTTATCTTTGCAAGCTTTTAGCAGTAATTTATAGCTTTGTGCCTGTTAATGTTGAAAATATATCGTGCTCTAACACATCGTATAAATAATCCTAGCGGCATTTATTCAGGACGATTTTGTGTCTGTTCAAAACACCCGCCTAACTACCATAAGAAACTAGCGCCCCACAGCGGGGCAACGCCCGAGACTACTTGTGCTCATGCTTCGGTGATGCTGAAACACGCTGTTTTCAAATAGGGGGACTCATGGGGAGGTGAAGAATGAAACAATGGGGGGGGGCTTTAAGCATGTACCTCTCAGAAAACAGAAAAGCATTCCTGGCATAAACAGCCCAAACCACCTCGAAAGCAGCCTGACAACAGAGGGAGAGGGGGGACGAACAATAGCCCTTGCTGGGTCCCAGTCGAGGTATCGTGCGCGCCCCGCAAATGTTCTTGACCTCTGCAATGTCACTAGGGGATCCCAGGTCTACGTGAAACCACAGAGAATGTCGATTGTACCTGAATACTCAATAGGGCACATTAAAACCAAATTAATATATCTTCTAGGCAACACTTGCCACTAATGATAGGTCAGAGGTGGCCCTGCATACAGGTTTATCAAACAACACAAGCATCTCGAGTTTCCAAGTTTGGTGTCAGGGGCTTTTAAGGTAGGCTTAGCGAACTTATGTGTAGAGGTTTAGCAATAAACACGTGCAGGCAAGCACTGCCAGAGAAGTTGAAACCATGAAGGGCATTCAGTCTGGTTTCTATCTCCAATTCATAGCTTTTTTCACATTGTGGTGCATAAAGTCCTCGTACGGACACGTCTCCTTCATTGCACGACTCGAGGGGACCTTCTTCTCGACCACGTTATGCTGCGGGCGGCAAGGACTGCAACAGATCGTTCCTGATCGGCATGGTCCCAGGCATAATCGAATCTAACACCAGATCTGATGGATTGCATCAAAACTAAGCGCTTTGCCAGACGAACCCTGAACACAAAGCTTCTACAAGAAGCACGGTTGCTGCTGACAGATCCCACCACAGACAAGCCCAAGCTCACAGGTATTTATGACCACTTGTCAGCTAGCTACAACAAGCTCTGAAAAATCAATGATGCGGTCAAAGAGCACCTAGCTCTCGAGGAGCTCGAAGCGGAGTATGTCGCGGCAACGGAATATAACAACCAAGCTATCAGCATTCTCACCGAGATTCGCTCCAAGATGGACAATTTAAGACGCAAAGACAGTACAGCAGTGGCTGCTCTTCAGAACGCTACCTTATGACCTCCTGGCGTTCCGACCAGAATTGGCCCAAGACTCCCGAACCTTGGCATGCCAACATTTAGAGGTGACATACAGGAATGTTTGGCTTTCTGAGAGCAGTTCGAGCAAATTGTCTACCTGAACAACTCTTTGTCAACAGCAACAAAGTTCTTCCATCGACGTCATTATTTTGCGGTTGAAGCGGTAGCGGCGATATGTGGTTTTCCAACTTCCAAAGTTTGTTACACAGACGCCGTCCAGTTAGTAAAGGAATGCTTTGGAGATCGAGCAAGACCACTTATCAGCGGTTGCAATCTACCTCACGTAATAATGGCAAAGCTACGTTCTCGGCCCCAGGAAACTTTACGATACGGTGCAGCTGAACATCCAGCATCTAGCTGCGCTAAACGGTCCCACACTCAGTTTTTCGGCTATGCTGATTGATATTTTACAGAAGGCCTGCCGTACGACATTATTTTTCTCTATATTCGGGGAAAGCACAGTCGGGCACTAAGAGAAAACGGGTCTGCTGCAAACGTCTTCGAGCCAGTTGTGGCAGCTGCTACATCCGGTGCGGAATTAAAGGAGCTGTTCACCTCTACACGTATTGAGCTTGAATGTCGGGATCAGTAGATCAGTATAAGCCCTTTAATGACCAACCGGTAGATGGCCATGCACAGAGAACTTGAGGCGGCAGCCCCAGCACCGCATCGGTACTACACAACGAATCGAGCAGCGCGAACGGATGCAGTCAGTCATCTTTGATCACGAAAGAGCTCTCAACCAAACAACATTTGCAGGTACTGGGAGAAAAACGGCTTTGTTGTAGGCTTGTGTGCTCAGATTTGGGTGCACATTAAACAACCCCAGGGGATCGAAATTTCCGGAGCCCTCCACTACGGCGTCTCTCATAATCATATTGTGGTTTAGGTATGTTAAAGCCCACATATCAATCAATCAATCGAGAGAAATGGCTTGCATTCAACACGTTTGACAACACATCCCTAACTTTGTCAGAAAGACAAAGGGTCGTTAAGTTCCCCTGCGCAGTCAATACTCTGCCGACACTCATATCGTTCGAGCAATAGTCGTCGCAATAATCTGTGACATTCTTTCATCGACAGCCGATAGCCACATCTTGCAGCAGTTGCATGTCGAGGGCCAGGTCATTGGTGAGAAAACGAAATTTCTTGAGGCGAAGACAGCGACCAGCATCAGCTTGTTGATTGGAGCTGACCTGTGGAAGTTAGCTAGTGGAGAAATAGTGAGAAGCACGGAAGTTCCAAGATTGGTGTCAATCAACACGATGCTTGGATAGACACTGCATGGACCCAGTCGTCAAAGAGCTTCTTATGGCAACACTAACCTCGTGGTCTGCGTTCTGCGAGTGGAAACAACTAGCGATGATGACACAATCTCTCAGATTCCACAGTCGTTCCGATACCTCGAAGCAGCGGGCGTTACGGATTCTGGGCAAGTTAGAGAGGTAGCTCCGACACTGAAGCAATTCACGTTCGACAAATTGTTACGCACTCAAGGCACCACATCTCTCAATGGCTGCCTTGACAAAGGAGTGAACCTCAATCTGGAGCCCCATATACTTGCTAGTGCCAGCCTGAAGACTCTTGGGACATGTAAAACTACAACAGCTGTTCTCCCCGATTTGACTAGCTGCGTCACTACCAATGCCTTCTTTATGGCGCTCCAAAGGTTT